ATCCCATTCTTTTACTCTTAAACTTCATTATTACTACATGTTTTTACACGAGCACAGTGAAAAGTACATGAGAATGCATGATCACTATGCACAGTGGCCATCAGGGTTAATAGCTTTTAAAGGTTGCACACTGATATTCTTAACCTTTCTAATGAATGACTTGATTATGGATCCTGCCCACCACCTCTGCAATATGAATATTGTCTGTACTGGACAATGCTTCAGTAAGACAAGATTTGAGCTTCTCTTAATCACCAGGGAGGGTATTACAGAACCATCATGTATGCAAAATCCAATTAAGACGGGGGGGTTGCCATTACAATAAAGTCATTTTATAAATCAGATGAAATCCATGTACAGCTTGCCATCAGGAACCACCCTCCCCCAGAGAGCCTTTTCTGCGCATCCATAATAATGACAGCACTTTATTTGGGATCACTGAAGTCGCTATTTTTTTTTCCATCCAAAATAACTAGAGAGTTGTAATTAATTGCTGCAATGAACTCGGGCAGCCTTGTTTGTTTCTCTGGGATTCATTATTACGTGGAGCACTTAGTAGGATGTGAAAGCAGGTAATGTTCTGCTCCTTCCTGAGCTATTAACCACTATATCTTGAATGCAAGAGAGGCCTCCAAGAGAAAGAGAAGCCAGAACAAAGCTTTTTTATTTATTTGGATTGCATAAATAAGATACAGGCCTGTAGTGGATTTCTTTTTAATGTAAAACTAAGGTGTCAGACAGGCGTTTCAAAATAGCTTTCAAGTCATTGGAAATTCCCTACAGCTCTTAAGGAATACTTTATATTTCTTGAATTTAATTTTGTTGCGCTGCTTGACGGAGGACCTAAGAGGAAGTCATGTAATATTCTAAGATATGCATAGTCTGCTGTTCCCCAAATGCCTCATACTGCCACTGTCTCTGTGTTCTGTTCACTCTGATCTTCATCAGTACATATGTATGCAAAGTATATTAACACTTACCATTCAGCGTGCTTTGAGATTAATGTGATTATGAGTCTGTTACTTCCCACTAGTATGCACACTTACACACACAGTGTGACAGCTGAACTAGTGGCGACATTATTTAATATTCTTGGATGGTAGCAGAGTAGTGTGCAACCCGCAGCCCATCTGTCCAGTGGGAGAAAAAAAGATCTCAATGTGTGCTGCAGATTTCCCCAAAGCTCACAGAGTTTGTGCAAGGCTTAGAAAGCACCCAGAGTACGCACAGATATCAGCAACAGCTTTAGAATTACAGTTAATCATTTAGGTCCACAAACGCATCAGTCAAGCTGTGAAAACAGCCCACAGCAATTGAACGCCACTTCAGTTCAACGTGCGGCAGTCTCGGTGTCTAAACATGTCACCTTTTGAGCCTACCTGTCACAGAGTGATACTGAGATCCCTTGCAGGTGGCGGCAGGTTCATCCAGTTCTGGGCTGGGAGGTTCACACTCTCCAGTCCCCACCCACCCCCCCCTCCTGGAGCAGGATCAGCACACTGAACTGTTGAGCGCCCTGCGCGCTCGCTGGAGCAGGATCAGCACACTGAACTGTTGAGCGCCCTGCTCTGGTGGCGCCACTACAGCTCGGTCCGCCGATGACACCAGCTGTAGAGGCTCAAAACACCAACTTCCCCACCCCGCTCTCGATTTACGAGCCTTCCGATATGATTAAGTTACACGGCTGACAGAGAGCAAACATGCGCACCGACCGGGCGCGTCCATAATAAGAGAATCTCAGGCGGAGTGTCCCGCCGCCCCCTCGTGTCTGTCCTCCAAATTCCCCCTCGGATCTCTCACTCGCTGGTCCTCTGCTATTATCCAGCATGCACCTCTCTCTCTCTCTCATTCAGAGCACCGTGGACCGCACATCAGCAGCCACACAGATCCACGGAAACGGTCTATGAAACCGGCTAAAGGCTGGTGGTCCCATCATAATCCAATGGTGCCCCTGTTGCACTTACACAGTGAGTTCAGCCATCAGCGACCTTAGGGCATTCTTTTATCAACACACAGTCGCAACAGTGCAACAAAGGCTTTTCTAGTTTTGCCTTTTTCCCCCCTGTCTGATCGTGAGGGGCTGCTTCCAACACTTTCAACATCTGAGCAGCGAGTGACACAAAGGTGCGCTGCTGCTGAGCGCCATGCGAACAATACAGCAGGAGCTGACACAGGGCTGCCCGAGGGTGGGAAAACGCGCTTTACACAAACATATCCCCAATTTCACCATCGCAACCTGTGCCGCTACCACAGGCTATGTCAGGGGGGCAATTAAGCCTTCAGGTTGTAGTTTTATGAGCAATTTGTAAATTGATGCCTGTGTAGACCAAAGGATCAGATCTATGTGAGCCATACAGGGGATATTCTGTAACTGTGAATGCAGGAAATGTAGCCAACAATCTCATCAGAAACATCGGTTATCAGTCAGATGCATCAACAATGAACACAGCCTCTAAACACAGACAGCAGAAATCACCCAGTACGATCCCCACTGCGCTCCGACTTCTCCCCGACACACAGCTCGCCCTTACCGGGTGGCGGTACCGCGTCCTTCCCTCTCTCGTAATTTTCCTTTTCACGCCACGACCGGACATTTGCGAATCAGTTGAGCGTCCGAGCGCAGGTTCCCCCCGTCGGGATATGAATGATGAATGTGCGTGTTAAATTGTCCATTTTCCATATCCACAACAGTCCACACACGACCCGCCCCCGGGCGGTAGTGATTGGTTGAGAGGCTCCTCGACGTCTTCGTCGCACCGTAAAGAAAAACACACACATCTGGATGTGACCCCGCGCAACTGGAGCGCTTTGGAAACACCGAATTACGCACAGGAATTGAACCGGCGTGGAGGGGCGTCGCATTTCTGAAGGCCCCTTTAAATGTGGCCCGCTGTTTATTGTGGCTGATAACAACCTTGTCACCTTTGCGGAAAGTGTGGTTGCAAATACATCACCGTTAACACCGGGCAACCGTTTAAATGAGGGACACCAGTCATGGGAGGATTTTTGTGTTTTAGCGGTTCCATGAGACAAGAGCAGTCGGCTATAGGCCAGTAATGATGATAATAGGTGATGCAACGCATTTTAACTCAACATTTAATTCCAATTAAGTAACAGGGTTTCTTATTTTAGCGACATACACACCCATAGGAGCTCCACATATTAAGGACCCGCAATGGGAGGCCCGAAGAGCTAACTGGATGTTAAGAATCAATGTTAGGTGGTTTTAAAATCCACCACGAGCAGCACAGTTCTATTACATAGCCTACTTTATGTCGTGTTGCTGTGTCCTGTGACGGCCTAATTGCCATGGCGTTTAATGTGGTGCAACATGATAATATCACTGGAAACGGAGCTGAGAGTGACAGGGCGCCTCGTTTACACAGTGAAAACCGGCATTTCTGACACTCTAGCGCCGCTCTGTGTCCGGATACAGTCATCCTCCTCTCCCTTCCTCCCCTTCCTTCCCTTCACTCTGATTTGCACTGCTTTGGGAGGATGTGTGATCTGTGGGTCTGTCTCTTGGCTCCAGCGCAGCGCTGAACCGAACCAACCGGGGAGAGAGAGGCAGACTGGGCGGGAGAGACTAATCACTGAGCAACAGTGCAGAGGCTTTCTGAGGATTAGTGACAGCTGTCACAGTCTGTGGTTGCAATGCGCTGTTACAGAAGAAAAAGAAAAAAATAAGTGCATTAGGAATGAAAATGTCATCATTAAAAAGAAATAAATAAATTGTACTTAACCCTGACAATTGAAATTAGGGCTACATACATTGTTATTATTATTATTATT